ATCGTGTTCGTTGTTGTGTAGCGTTTCTCCCTCGTGCGCTCTAAGCGATAAATCGGAACCTTGTATTGCGCCTATGGGCACGGAATTCGCGATTTCCTTGGTTAGAAAACCATGCCGGGTTTCCGGGTTATTCGAAAAGAACCAATTATTCTGGGCGAAGTCCAGAATCATACCCGCGGCCTTGATAAAATCTGCGCCTAACAATGTCCGACTATTAACAAATTCAGGGATAGCTAACATGGATGTTTGAATTTTCTTTGACTGGAGGTGAATGGCAATGTTAAACTGTTTGGCGATCACGCGTCGTTCATTTCCGTCCGTAAGCTTAATCGTGACATATTTGTCTATGAATGGCTCTCCACATGTGATTAACAGTTTATACAATTGTGCTCCAGCAATACTGGTTTTAGAACCAGTGTCCAAACATGCTGACCCATGAAATTGATGAATTCTGATGGGTAACATTGGCCGTTCCTGGTCAGTAGTTGAAGAAACGTTGAGCATATTGAATGTCATCATTGAGGACGTTGAAGAATGTGATGACTCTTGTTTTGGACGTACACTTGGGGCAGCCGCTACGAAGGTAACCGGGACTGCCGCAGCCAAAACATACCAATTTAGGATCCGAGTGGTGATCGAGTTATAAGCGTCGTCTTCCACAGGTGGGGCCGACGGACGTGTATTGGTAGCAAACTTCCTGCATTGGTTTTTTAAATGCCCAAAGTTATGACAAAATTCACATTTAGGCCGAGGTTTATTTGGTTTTTCCTCAGGAATAACAGACGGGTTCGATGTCTTAATCAAAGAGCCAGAGATACTCAGAAAGTTCTCTTCTATCGACCGAACTTTATTAATTAGCGCGTCGAGACGTGCTAACAGTGAGCGAGCATTTGCTACGAATATATCGGTTTGTTCCTGTTCCCCCAGCTCTTTAGAAAATAGTTCGCGATGGATTTTGTGTGGAGGTTTATTGAACCCGAACGCGTGGCGAAGAGATTTTTATGCGTCTTCCCACGTAGAGACTGTATCTCGAACTCCATGCCACCAAGTAGCGGCTTGGCCATCAAGAAGCATTGACAAGCCCTTAAGAGCATTGTCCTCAGTAATCATTACGCATTCCTTGTAAACCGATATCGCATTAATGAATGCATCGCAATCGTCGCCTTTGTTACCCGAAAACCGAGACGCGCATTTTGAAAAATTCCCACCGAGTCCTGGTGCAGGTGAAGGGCTTGCGACTTCTCGATTTGTATTAGTGATAGTAGCAAGGAGTTGCTGCAACTGTTCGTTCGTCATGGTAACCGTAGTTGGATTCATTGTTTGTTGCGTATTTGATTGATCAACGGAAGTTTCTGCGACTTCTTGTGGCGTATATTCGCGATTGCGTAGCTTACGCGGCATCAAAGTGAGATTAAGCACTTCCGGGAGTGTGAGCACGTTTGATGAAGATCCAGGAGCACGTGTGTAAATCACGTGGGCAAGTAATTATACGTAAGGCGCGAAGTAATGCCGTGATGCATGCAGCAATACAATAGAAATTAGAGTTGTGGTACTTACAGTTCTAATTTATGCACTACACTTAGGTTTAATTATAGTTTTCACTAAGGTTTTATTAGAGGTTCGGTACACTTTTTTAACAGTTCCAGTCATTTTGGATTTTGAAAAAAAATGGCACTAAGTTGGGCGCCACTTATAACGCTGATATTAAAAATAACCACGTTATAATAATTTGTTTTGAACAACACTTTTACATACTTATTAATGGCGACGCATTCTTAATTATTTGACAACTCTCTAAAAACAAAACATAACAATATGGGACGCCTGTCGTAGTTGGCGGGAACGTGGCCATGCCTTCTGCCACGACTTTGGCTCCTAGGGGAACAACTGCCCTCGAATAATAGAAGTGGCGTTACAAGGTGCCTCTGCAAAAGGTCTTAAGTTGTTCTACACTGCTCCGGTATTTACCTTACGAATTAGGAAAACTGCAGGAAAACCTAATTCGGAGTAGCCGGCAGAATGCTCGAAACTGGTCTATAGTAATTCCCATCTCTGCCACAGATGAAAAATTCACCTCAACCCAGGTTCGAACACCCGACCTCCGGATTTATAGTCCAACGCTCTACCACTGAACCATAAAGCCGGTCATACAACATGTAGAAAAAGAAAACGTCGTGGCCGACGCAATCTCACGATTCCCAGACTCTACGTCACAGAGAGATTTCGGAAGCCCAACTCTCACACCCAGGCGCACAAGCAACTACCAAAACAGTCAAACACAAATTCGTGTGGCCAAAAGTGATAAGGATTGCAGAGCATGGGTCAAACAATGCATGCAATGCCAACGAGCAAAGATAACACGACACCACCACGACGCCGTAGGCACATTCCCACGTACAACCTTCAGGTTCGAACACGTCCACATCGACCTGGTAGGACCGCTTCCAGTATCACAAGGAAAAAGATCCTGGACATGTATCAACCAGCACACACGGTGGCCAGCGGCTATCCGCTATACCATTAGAAGACATTGAGGCTGACATCGTTGCCCAAGTGTTCCTACTGTACTGGATCGCACGATTTGGGACACCGCTTCGAGTAACCACGGACCAAAGAAGACAAATTGAATCTCGCTTGTTTTAACGGTGACAAATATAGCAGGCCCACACAACAGCATATCACCCAAAAGTTAATGGAATGGTGGAACCAAAGCCCTCCTGTGCCACAACAAACGGAAATGGACATAAGTTCTAGCGATCCGGATAGCAGGGAAAGAGGATCTCAAAACCACAAGTGCAAAATTCTTCTACGGTACAGCTCTACCCGGAGAATTCCTAGCCACACACACCGGAAATCAAGATGTTGAACTAACCAGACAATTACGTAGCATGACTCACAAACAGCATTTCAATTCAAAGATTTAGATATAGATTTTGATGTATTCGTTCGAACAGACAAGGTAAAACGTTCGCCGCAACCACGTTACGGAAGGCGAAAGGAGGAAACTCATTACCATACAGAAAGCAACCAAAGAAGTCACCATAGACAGAGCTAATCCCGCATTCGTAGAAACTCACGAGTGAAACCGAAATCAACCAAGCAATTAGCACCTCAAATCAACAATACAGTACCACAGATAGTAACCCCAGTTACCAAGACAGCAAGAAGCGGAAGACAAGTGAAGAAAGTTGTCCGATTTTGTAACTCCGTCACTAGAAGGGGGGTACTGTAACTGTTTATGATCAACTGGCAGATACCCAATCGCCTAGATAATTGGCCCGTATGAATAAAAATAAGTAAATGCTTATACTTGCAAAATTCAAAGTAAATACTCGTAAGTGCTCCTTCGTACTGGGCGACTTAGCAGCGCTTCTAAGCAGAAGGACAAGACGCAGTGCAGCGCTGCTAAACCATGCTAAACAGACCAGTATGAAGGGGCACTTACGAGTATTTACTTTGAATTTTGCAAGTATAAGCATTTGCTTACTTTTATTCATACGGGCCAATACTGCACTAGACTGCAATGTGAAAATTCGATCAGCTGACAGTGACATACCCGACCACGTCGATGACATCACAAGGCTGCTTTACACGGCACTAGTAACTCGTACGAGTTGCTAAAACGTAGTGTAATGTTCTCTCTGGTGGAGAGGACATTTAGGGAAAAGAACCACTCTTGAAGATGACTTAAAAACTTAATATTCTTATTCCATTACAGTAGTACTAAATTGCCACTCAAGTACCAATGCGAGTCGAGTGAATAGAAAACAATCCTATTTACTGGCGCAAGTATTAGGTACTTGTACCTACAAGTTACTACTTTACTAACGCATAAGAATACAGTCAACTTCTGTTCACCCATAGCGAAGAAGATTCTCCTAGGTCCTACTGTTTACCTATAAAGTATGACTGTTTGCCCGTAGCGTAGGTGCCCCAGGTCCTAATTTTCATTCATAGCGTAGGGTTCTCCAGGTTCGATTGTTCACCCATAGGATAGGATCACCTTACAGCTGAATTTGACGTCTGCGGCTGTCACTGCACGCAGTTCTGTCAATAAAAGTCGCGGACACAAACCTCTATACCTCCTTACGCTCATCCTCGCTCCCCAGAAACGTCAAGCGTCATCGTCCACAAGAGGTTCTGCAGGTTTCACAGTTGCCTGCTTCACTGTCACCGCTGGCCGCTGCCTGCAACACTTACACAGTCAAGAGAAGGTAGCGTGGAAGGTGTCACCGTGGCCAGCATTACCGATTCTGATATGTCTCAAATGGCTAATGGTGCTATGATCCGAAACGCGTATTAAAAAAGATCAAACCTATTTAAATAGGAGATTCTAGTTATATTTTCATTTGCATATAACAATTGAATTTCAAAAGGAACTATTGTTCCCATGGTTTGTTTTTTTATTTTATTTTTATTTTTTTTATTTTATTATCCCTCTCTTGTTTTGGGCCCTCAACAGGCATGCGCCCAATTACAGAGTGGCTCGCATAATGCTATTTGTTGCGCTATGTGTTGTGTTGCCTGATGTTACTTTATAGGAATCGATTACCTAATCTTGTCTGCGTTTCGTTAAATAATCTCATTAATTGTTCAAACTGTGCTCCATCCATATTTAGCGATTTTTCTTTTTATGTGGCTTGTATTCCTCTGTTTACAACTCGTCGCCAAATGTTGTGTATTAAATAAGCGGTTCCAATTGCTTTGAAAATAGTTATTTATTATACAAGGGAAAAAAGTATTAGATTTTAGCTCGAGGTTGTGTTGTTTCCCGACGCGAAGCGACGTCAGGAAGAGTTTTATGCTTTTATGTGGTAATGGAATGATTCAGAATAAAGTATGCCGCGCCATCTCTCACCGTTAACATACACTTCAATGTGCTTCGGTTACAGTGCAAGAGAAAATCGATTTAACCTTTCTTTTTTAACCGGTGTAGAACCGAATTGCAATTGCATGAAACTGTCAATAGATGTAGACGTACATTTTACGTGGAAGACAAATTAAAAATTTCTGGTTTAATTATCAAATTAAATTAACAATCATCATAAACATTGCAGAAACAGTCTATAACACTTTACGTCTGCCTTTAATGTAACATACGGTTCATTTCCGTACCTAAAGGCTAATAAAAACTTGTTTTTTTCATTGGGTCTGATCCAAATATTTTCGAAGTTGTGAGTTATTGCACGCACGCCGTGTCTTACAACATTTTCACCAGGAATTAGTCTTTTAGCGCTCCTTCCTGTATAACCAATTTGTTTACAAATCTCCTCCAATTGTAAGGTTGTGACGGTTCTAGAGAAACATACAGGATGCCATACGCCGGATGTCCGTTCCTGTACTTCGGTAAGTGAGCTATGGGAAAGAACACTTCGTTTTTACTGTATTTTGCTGTGTACACCTACCTTATTTGGGATGAAATTAAGGCAATGCAGTGCATTTCATCTTCGCCACTAGGACAGTCACGAAATCCATCACAAACGACATCATGGGAAACGCACTTACCGCTACTAAACTCGGACGGAATTAGATTAGAAAAATGGGTGCAGATACTTACCGGCCACAAGCAAAGTTACTGTGTGTACATTTACAATCCTCAGGGTCTTCATCTGAACGATCCAGGCAATTTCTCACTCCATCGCAAACTTTAAGCGGATTGGCCAAAGTTAGATACGCTCTGCAGTTACAAATAGCTGGCTCATCCGACTGATCACCGCAATCGTCCTTTTTATCGCAAAACGCAACTTTGGGTACACATTTTCCATTGCGGCATTTCAATTCCGACTTGGAGCACTCTAAAAACGGACTAAACCAAAATGCACCAATTAAAATCGATAATTACGGCAACTACTGTTTCGGGAGCAGTAATTTAGAAATTTGGAGCAGATTTTAGGGTCCTCATCGGCGCCATCCAGGCAATTTTGAACTCCGTCACAAACGGATTTTTCCGGAACGCACTGACCTAAACCACAGCGAATCTGTTTACAAATTGGAGGGATAATGTGAAAGTGAGCTTGTTCTGCAATAAAATTCGTTAACCCCAAGCCTGCTAAGACGCCAACCTTACTCATTAATCTCAATATTGTTGATTTCCAATACTGAACACTATCCACCGAAATTCTATCTGGAAAATCACAACCACCCAATGGCGCGTAATATACCGCAGCTGGGTACCATCCATGAATAGACCGACACACTATCGATCCGCTCCAAAACAAGCGTTTACGCTTACCCTAAAGTACATGGTTAGTACTACAATATTTAGATAAGGGAATCATACGTGACAGTTAAGAAAACTCTGCCCTTTTCGAAAACATCGAAGTCCATATGCGCAATCCAGCAGTGGTTTCAAATAAATAATATTGGAATTGTCTGGGGAATTTGCGCGTTGAGCTAAGCATATTCTTGTTTCACTGACGGTATGTTTCCTATCACATTAGTCAATCAGATGCGCACTTAAAAGTGAAGGGTGTCTTACTTAACATCTAAACTAATTGGTCGTACGTATCGAGTTATCTTAACAGGTTTGTTAAGCCGCAAGAGCACTATGGTTGAATTTTCTACTTGTAGCACGTCTGCGACTTGCCGAACTTGCTCGTAGGGGCTGATAACGGGTAGGTGACCGGTGCCACCCACCAAAACGGTGATATAGTGGTTGTGCAAGCTGATGAATTTAAAATTATTGCTGATGGTGAGGAAAAAGTGGTCATAGATCTTACCGAAACTGCGTGTCAAGGCAAGAAGATGAAGTAATCACCCATTCGGTCTCTATCAAAGTTCCAGAACACTTGTAAGTTCCTTCCATGTAAATTTCGGCATTCCATGGTGTTTCTAAAATTTTGCTCGAATTGAAAGGAAGGTAATGGGGGTGATGTTGTATGTCGATATTATTGGAGCACTTGACAAATATTCCCATACATTTTTCTATTTTATGGTTGCTCATGGCCTGAGGTAAAACGGGCATATTGTTGTGCTGCACTGAGAGCGCGACATCGTTAATATTTGAGCTCATGTAGTTATCGTAATCACTAAATCCCAGATAAAAACAACTGTCGGCGGCAATGCTTGCCTTCTGGGTAGTTTGGTCCGTACACAACACGCGCCATACACCTTTTCGGTTTATGGATACAACACCATTTCTATTAATGAGTGGCCGGAAGTCCTCATCCAGTGAAATTGTCTTACCATTTGTGAGAGCCACTGCAACAGACAATGATTATTACGTCAATGAGATTATTAGCATGCTGAGCAATAGCAATTTTAGCATACACCATACTATGCTTTTGGTTTCGTTGTGTTTGTGTGTTCGTCCGTCCGTCCGTCCGCGTGATAAATCGAGAATGCAAGCGAATATTGGAATTCTGTTTTCAGTAAAAGATAGCTCGGACGAGTTTGTTAATCAGAAAAATCGCTTGACATCTGGTGGGCCGTGGGTAAATGGGAGAGAGAAATGGCATACCGTGCACATCATACGAGTTACATTTACTTGCAGTCCCCGAGATGCGATTAAGAGGTTAAGAGGAAGGATATAAATTGACGACCTTCTAAGAACAACAATGAAACTTGAGATATAGTTTGGTTTTAGCTGACACAAGCACTAGCTAAGTACTACTTATAATGTTAGAACAAAAAGTATTTTTTTTGTTGATCACAACCTGACATCATATCAGCTGCTTTAATTACCATGGATACAATAAATAAAACAAAATCTCCATGAATCCATGGTCTACCGTTTAATAACAGTAAAAAACAAAGTTTCTCGTCTAAACGATCTTTCCACCATCGTGTTCCGTTTGGCAGATATTTGCACTGAAAGTTTTGACATCACCAGTAGATGTGTCTCGTGCAGACGTTCCACTTGCCGTTTATGAGTACTCTCTTCCGATACTTCGTTTTCAAGATATTCACATGAACTGCATTATATAGCTTGTCCAGACGATTCATTTTGCCTTTGTGAGTAATCCGCTCCGACAAACCGTTTTCGAGATATTCGCTCTTAAAGTTTTGACCTCACCAATGGATATATTTCTTCCAGATGTCCCAATCGTCCTTTCAATCCCATGAATCTCGAAAAGAAATCGCGGAAGACAGTTATAGTTTGTAGAAACCGATTCCTTTCGATAAGACCTTTCATTAGAGTACCATGAAAAACATAACCTCCTTCCCCTCTCCCCATTTTTAAAAGTTTTACATTGAACCACTAGAAGCATGAGTATGCAAAATCTGAGACAAATTGGTTGTCTCATGTAAAAGTTATGGACGTTTTCCTTTCACAAACAAAATCTCGAGTTATAATTAATGGGGGGGGGGGGGGCCCTATGTATTGCAACAAAAATACAGACCTCTGAGACAATTTCCCTAAAAGTAGTTCAAAAGCGCAGAAGTGGATGCGGACGGACGAACAGACACAACACAAACAATTTTTTTCTTTAAAAATACCCTAAAATATAGGTTGTGATACATCAAAACAAGGAAAAGAATGAAAAAGAATTGATGTTAAGATATACAGGGTGATGCATTTAAAAAATATCAACATTGAATGCAATCTCGGGAACTGTGGCCCAAACAAGTTGTTTTGCCTACGTCACTGGTTTCTACGTGAAATATCTAAAATAGGCAGTTTGTACTTTTTTGCGGATTTTTCAACTCATGTTGGAAGGCGCTATTGTGGCCACTTTCTCCGTTCGTCCGAGGCCTTAACTACTCCTACAGTTTTCAAGATATTTAATTCTTTCTTTTTGCATTCGGTAGCTTACAGCTCTGGAACCTCGACCAAGAAAAATCTTGACGGTTAATGTGCGTATGCGAAAACTGTGCAATGTCATCTTTCTTATTTATGGAGATGTTTTTTTGAAAAGCATATCGTATATTTTAAAAATTATATATGTGCATGCGCAACCTGCGCAATATCGACTTTCTTAATTGTAGAGATTTTTTTGAAAAGGTTCTTCTAGTAAAGGCTAACATATCGCATATTTTAAACATCAGGTGTGCACATACATAGGCTGCGGTTTGTGGTATCATAAGGTTCACAAAAAAGTGACACAGGGTCGCGTCTCTATTAGCTGAGATACACTGCTGTCTCAACCAACGTAGGACCCGCTGCACACACATATCATTTTCTATATATAATATAGGGTGGCGATTGAACCAGAAACAAAAGAAATAGGGTTGTCATAAACACAAATTCCCAAAACACGTCAATTTGATTGAATTAAAAGTTGCGTTGGATTGGTTTTTGCATTAATCGTTTAGTTTGTATGATTTACATGGTGTTGGGATGCGTACATCCTGTTTTTACTGACGAGGATATGGCGACCGAAAGATCCGGGATAAGAAGTTAAATCTTTACCACGTGCCAACGGCCTCTTTGGACTTCAGATGAGCGAGTGGACAGCTAGGAACTCTGTTATCCAGGGAGTTGTAAATGGCCCCCAAACGCGGAGGAGTCTACCAAGATTAACGACAAGAGGATTGTTGTAGTACCTTGTATAGGTTTAAGTTAGTTAGAGTTAAGTTGGCAACAATATTGAGAACTAGTGGTTAGATGCACAATGTAAGTAGCGTTTCGTAGAGGCAAATTAAACAAGTCTTAAAGGAAGTATTATTCTTTACCTAACAAATACCACGTAAAGAAACAAGGATGAGAAAAGCAAATGGAAACTGCGTCATTAAAGGCAATTTGCAAAGGCGCAGGAGATAACAAAGAAAATTCGAAATTTTTCTCTGTATTCTGGGCGAGTTTCTCAATCGGATACCTGGGGGGAAACATTTTGAAAAGAATTATATGTCTTTTGGAAGCAAAAGGGAGAAAGTCAGCAGCAAGAGGAGAATCGATAAGTGGAAACTAAGAGTTGCAACTTGGAACGTAAGAAGCATGCTCAAAAAAGAAAAACTGGGAAACCTAATAAGGGAAATGATTAAGAATGATGTGGATCTGATAGGAGTGAGTGAAGTAATGTGGTAAGATGAAAAAGATATACTAGATAGATGGAAAGAGTATATGGAAGATATGTATAAAACAAAGGGCTAACCACAAAATCTTGAGGTTGAAATAGGGGAAGAAGGCTGGCAATTGAAGAAATGAAGAACGAAAAGGCAGCCGAGGTAGATGAGATACCAGTAAAGTGGTTTGACAGAAGGTGGTTTGTAAGATTGCAGTTTATGAGAGCGGGGAATGGCCAGATGAGTTCTTGAAGACGGAAATTATTGCACTGGATAAAAGAGTGGGAGCAATGAAATGCAGAGAGCACCGTACTATGTGATGGTGTAGAGATTGGCAGAAAAATAGATCGTATTCAGGAGGGGTTGGAGCTGGTGATACAGTAGGTGTTGCGAGATCCCTGGTGCAGAGGCAAATGGAGAGATAGAAAAAAGTGTACCTTAGTTTTATAGATGCCATGAAAACATTTTATTGTGTCAAGTGGGACAAACTGATGAGCATACTGAAGAGAAAAGGCGTTGACTGGAACGGGAAGAGATTGATAGGCAAGTAGGCTGTATCTGGACCAAATGGTAGTTATGAGGGTAGGGAATGGTAGATCAAAATTTACCACGTACCCTTTTCATCTTTTACTTGGATGAATTGATTTTGGACTGTTTGGAACATCATACTGGAGTGAAAGTTTGGAACCACAGTAACTGAGTAATGGAAGACTTGAGGACCTTTGATCTGTCGGTTCTTATGGTCCCTGGTGTTTTGGAGACTTTTGGACTCTAAAAGTCCTAAGAGCCCTCACGAGCTTACCATGCAACAATGGTTACTCATGATCGTTTCACTTCCGGTTTTACCAGATGTGGAGAAATCCTTTCTTATTTTAAATAATAATAATTCGAAATCTGATGGAGAATCCACCAACATGAAAAATAACCGGCTGCACTGATCACCGAGTGTGACAACAAATTCATGCGTGGTATTTACTTACGGCAATCTATTTCGTCATCCTCCAAAGGGCAATCAGGATTATTATCGCATCTTTTGGTAATACTAATACAAGTTCTACTCTTTCGACAGTGATACTGATTTTCGTCGCAGTTATCTGAAAGAATTCTCTATTTAATTATCTTTACAAAAAGGCTACGTACGGCAGTCCTCTTCGTCCGATTTATCCAAACAATGTGTAATACCATCACACAATGTGCTGGGAAACGTGTGTCTTAGATAATCTGCACATCGACAGTTTTGCTCATCGGTGGCATCCTCGCAGTCAGCGTGGCGGTCGCAAAGCTTAGTTATGTCAATGGTCTGTTTGATTCTAAAACCTTTCGTGAATTGAGAACATATAGCTGTTGATTCCCGCTTACAATTTACAATGAAACTCAAGTACTGTAGGAATCTTCCATGTAGGACGGGCTGGTGTAGGATTCATTGATGTGGTGGAATTGCTTACTGAAATGTTTGGAATTGGTGTGGAAATTTCAATAGCCTGGGTTGCTTGGTCTCGTTCTGTACCGATTGGAAGTCGATTTACTATCGTTACAGTTGTGCTTTCACTCGCATTTACAGTAATATCAAGCGACAACTCTGAAGTTATGATTTCGTAATTAGGTATGACTTCTGTACTGGACCATTGTTCAGTATTTTCGGAATTTATTGTCGCTGGGATAGCTTTTGCTTCTGGAAGGAAAGAAGTCGCAGTTGTCTCACCAGTAGATTGAAACGCGGTTTCTGTTTTTGCTAAATGCGTAACATTGAAAAGATTTTCATTCAATTGTGTTGTTGAAACTGTAGTAGGGTGGAGATTCCATCCGGTTTCTGTACTGATCGATTCTCCAGAAGCGTCGTGGCTCGACGTTGTTGCGGGGGCGGTTAATTCGTGGAGTTGTGAATGCGCAGTTTTCTGTTCATTTAATTGCGTAGTTGCTACTGGATTGATTGTAAAATTGTTAGAAGTGTTTTCGAAACTCGAAATAGGTTCTGTAATAGAAGATTGTGTTATTAGGTTGGAGCTTGTTTGATGATCTGGGAGAAAGTTTGGTTCAGTTAGCCCACCAAGTTGAGGTGGAATTGCTATTTGTGCTAAATGTGTATCTTCCGAAACACTTTTGTCTTGGGAAATAGTAGATGTGTCTGGATCATTGCCAGGTGTCAAAATATTTTTTGCAAATTCTATTATGCTTCCATCAGCGGTATCACTGGATCTTTTTGTAATTTTCTTAGTACCATGAGATTCACTTGCATTTGTAGTAAAGTTGGGTGCAATTGACAGGTTTTCTTCTCCGGTCCGCAAAAACATATGTCTCATCGCGTTTTTAAAAATCTCCGGAAACGTATTTCTTCCGCAGTGCATTTCGTCATCGGCTTCCAAACAATCTACAGCTTTATCGCATCGCCTTTTGTTTCCTATACATCTTTTACTTGCTTCACAAGCATATCCGGGGCAGTGCCGTAATGGCCTTCTCACAGAAAACACCTCAGCACCTAAAATGACAAACGTGTGATCGACATTCGCGGACAGTTCTCCACACGTACCTATGTGTTCCGATATCCATCCTACAAATAGGCTCACCCTTGTATAAACGCCTGGCTCGTCCGGCCTCGCGCAGCCTTCTCCGTGACTGACAATACCAGCTAAGTACCATTGGTTTGGTAAATTTGGGTTCCTGCACATAAACGGTCCTCCACTATCTCCTTGGCAGGCATCTTTGCCACCCTCCCTCAAACCGGCGCATATCTCGTGACCTTCTTCGTCTTCTCTATGCTTGCACTTCTTATGAACAGGAACTTTGACCTCCCGAAGATGGTCCGCTAAAATCAGTAAGTGAGTAAAAATTTCGAGTACTTCCGCTTACGATCAGTTCCGTGCTCTACAGTTGCTCCCCATCCAACCGCCGTACAGAGCGTTCCCGGCTCTGGGCCCCACAAATAGTTTTTGCCAGCTGTAATTTCGGAAGGTAAACAAATGGGTCTAACGTATCTATTAAATTCGAGCGGTTTGGAAATTTTCATCAGAGCGATGTCATTTTTTAGTTTGTGACGATCGTAAAATTCGTGAGATATTATGTGATCTACGACTCGATTTTGTACCATTGGCGAATACGAATACCTTCGAAGCACACCTGCTTGGATTTCGTAGTAGTAGCGAGAATACCTATGAACTACCCCATCAAAAAGGTTATTATGATAGAAGACAATTACTTGTCGACGCAATGCGCGGCTGTCACTATCCAAATTTCATTTATCAATGCACCACCGCAGTGAAACATCCCATTTCTGTATACAGAAACAATCCATGGCCAAGCTTTTGGTTGACTCGGAAGACCGCCAACAACCCTTCCACTTCCTAACAGTGGGTCACTCTCGTTCTGGTGACTCTCGGAAACCCGTGCGTAGTAGGGCTCTCCCAAAATCCTCTCTGCGCTTGTATCTACTTCTTCTCGCCTGAAGGGGTTTATTTCTTGCACACGCATTCCACATATCGGTGGCGGACATTCAACATAAATAGCGGCATTTCTCTCACATGTATCTACCAATTCTATGGTACCGGAATGTGTCGCACTCACGTAGAAGCCACCATAATCTACTTCAAGCGGAACTAGGTGAGTTAGAGGAGCACTAGAAAAGTAATATGAGAGTACATCACCGAGGCAATAAAGTTAACTATACACTGCGCTAAGTCCCATTTCAGATTGGCAAGCATCGTTCGCCCATATTTCTGGATTTCTGCATGTAGGGTACCAACCGCCTTTAAAATTTCTGTACAGGAAACCAACAGATTTAGTCACCATGAAGTCCTGTGAATTAAAACGATCACAAACCGTACTAGCAAAAACTTCCATACCTTAGTCCCTAAGTGATCAACGATAATACTGCAATCTAATTCGTCCTTTTCAGTAGCACATTGTACAATTCCATCACATCGTTGTTCAATTGGTATACATGTAGAGAATCGCTCTCTAGGTGACCAATCGTCACAACTAAATGTTCCAGATTCGCAACCTAAACGTACCTGTGAGCTCAAAAAACGTAGACGTTGGAAAATATTACCGAAACAATGCATTTCATCTTCACCATTAGGACAATCTAAGTAACCGTCACAGATTCGCGATTTTAATAATCTCCTTTTACACGGACAAAACTCTTCGTCGCTACCATCGCTGCAATTCACCTCACCATCGCACGTTTGCCGAACTTTGATACATTTGGAGTCGTCTTCGCAACTGATTTCGCCATACGGACACTGATTGGCCGAGCGCGTGTTGTTTCTGAAACATGGTAAATCTATTGGCCCTGTCCAAGTGGACTAGAACTTACCGCTTATCTAAGGGAGGTGCTTCCTCTTTATCTTTCACAGTCCCCAAAATGCTTTCTGGAATTTGCCTTGCAGGAGTACACATGATGGGTCGACTCGTAACGGATGGTTGGTCGTAGTGCTGTAGCATACTTTGAAACCTGTCGCGTGGGTGAAAATAATACGGTAATAGAGGTTGAGGATTGTTTTGAATAGATGAGACTCCTTGTGTGATAGGATGTGAATCAAAGATATGGGGCATAATGGGCGACTGGTAAATTTTCAAACCAAACGTGGGACAAATGTTTTGCTTATTCTGTGGCGTTTTTAAGCTTTCAGCAATAGTTTTTGAAGTTGTAATGTCACTCCTGTTAGTTACATTAGAGTCGACATATTTCTTTCCAACAGACTCCCTTTTTTGTCGTTTTGCATTCCAAATGTGCAAAATAGTTAAATTATTTAGGTTAAATGTATCATTGACTATTTTGTAATCTAAAATGTTAGTGTCTGTTTCAGTTGTTGTATTTACAGTACCATTTGCAACCGCTTCTTTGAAACGTAAGTTAGCAACTGAAGCGCTTGAGGATGCCAACGAGTCAATATTTGAAATGGTGCTGATTTCGAGTGGGACACGCGTCTTCAATCCCGAGTCTGCAAATGACAAATTAATGAGAAATCGATCAATTCATAACGAATCAACTTACTATTTACTACCACAAGTATTATTATAGAACATACCATGGCGCCCAGTACGACACATAGGATTATGCATAATTGTGCTGCAATACTTCTTCCTGCATACTTTTTGCTGTCCTTGCTGGTACCTTTAAAAAGAAACTTACAAGGTTGAGGAACTAGCAATTTGAAGTCCTGTGATATTTATGTTTGGTATTATTTAAGTACATGCACTCAATAAAATCAATTTCAAATTTAGCTGGATTCTTTATCAAATTTGTAGATCTGAGTTCATGAATTGGCAATATAGCCCAAAAAAATAAGGAAGGCCCGTTTTAACATCTCTGTGAGTAATGAACCGAATTGCATGAAATTCAATATGCGTATAGCTTTAGCCATTCCGCAATTCCAAAAGTTGAGCCTAATCGATCAACATTCACAGTGCCCTTTTCGCATCTCGACCATTTACAAACCGGATTGCAACTTTTCTTATATAAGAAAGCATTACATAGTAACTTGGAATAAAAGCAAATTTAACGCCAGTTTCAACATTTGGTTTTGCACATGCTATAGCCATACTCAGGAGCTCGTTTTCTATATTTGTTTACACGTTTATTTATTTATATTACTTCTCAGCGTGCAGAATTGAAAGGAAAAAGGAATTAACCGTTGGCTTGATTTATGAGTACCTATGCTCTTTGAAATTTTGTAAAAATGTTCCCAAAGTTCTACTCCTTTATGAAGTACCTACTCCTCAACGGGAGGCGCAAAGCAAATTTGTCATCCGGATGAAAATGTGATATGTGTTCCATTGGAGCTCTCATTTTATCCTAAGTTCTATAACAATATTGCAAATCTATTACAATGTTGGGTCACCTTGTATGTCTAATTTCAATTATTTATTTTTGATGTTATAGGTTGGTAAAATTGGAATTAAGCGCAATTCGAATTTTAGATCAAAAATTTTATTTTGCATCGGTATTATTTAATTGCAAAGAAATTATGAAATTCATCTGGAATTATTTGCGTAGTATTTGTGAAAGTTTATCTCATATTTTTGCCCGTCGTCTGCGATAAGAGGCGTTATCGCTGCGTAAGCTAATTAGTTTCAATATACGCACCTGTTATCGTAAACAGATGTTAATTCTTTGGAATACATAGTATTTTATTAGAGAAGTGGAAGTTAGGGAAGGGAATAAGTTTTAAATAAGAGAACCGGACGTACATCGTGACTCTTTTTGGGGGAAGGCGTGAATCGAGTTTTTTGCACGTTGAAACGTAGCCGTATATTTAAGCGCATTCCCAGTTATAAAGTTTTATAGATGAACGTTAGTTGTGCGTAGACGGCAGCGAGTTTTACGTTACGAAGAAGATTCCCAGTACTCGTTAAAGGGAGTTTTGTCCACCATCAAAGGGCCAGAAGTATAATTGGAATTACAAAGAAGGCAGTGACGTCTAAAATGAGTTTTAAGTAAAGACAAAGAAGTGAGGTTCCGAAGCATCACTCAGCTTGGTGTTCGTGGTATGTGTCTGTTTGCTGAGAAGCACATTTATGACCGGATGATAAGGATTATTTGACCTGAGGTAATTGAAACTTTATTTAAATTTAATTTTCGAAATCGATTTGTTACTAATATGATGGCGCCTATTTAACTTTAGGAAGTTGGTAAATGTTTCTCAAAAGTAGCCATCTTGAATTTTATTGACATCAATTCTAAATCAGGCGTATCAAAGACAGTAACTTTTATATAAAACCTTTATTTGTATTTCGCATACTTTCGATGATATAAGACATTCAACTTTTTTTGAAATTACGTCCAACCTATTCGACATTTTGAACCACCACAAGTAAATTTTAAGAAAGCATCTAAAACTGCAAAACATTATCCACTCAACCAATTCTCTATCTTTATTAATAAGATAGTTACCCATGCAATCCCACGCGATCTGGGACACACTGTATACTGCCCGCCATAAGTACCTGAACACCCAATGCACTTTTGATCAATTTTGATGAAATTTTTAGGAAAATCGTATTGTAACGGAAATGCTCCAGACATGACGTCGCCTTTGGCGCTCTGGAATTTTCTACGCGCGCGATAGTAGGAATATTCGAGAATGTACTGGACTTACATTGCTTGCGTGTATAAATGGTTGCGGACCGAACATCGCGGCAGTCTACTACCGAACGAGTACGGACGAAACATCGAGCGCGGAAATATAAATTGCGAAGTGTGTGTGATATAAATAATCGATATAAATTGTACGGTTTTTATAGTGTTTTAGTTTTGTTTAATAAATATTGATATAAATCGAACCCGAATTTATAAATCACGTTACAGTATTTATTTCGATATAAGAAACAAGAAAACTTGATATAATTACAACAAATTGGAACAACACTAATATAATGTGTATATCATTCTATTGATTCTTGCGCATTCAGCTACTAGACTGGACAAGAAAATGAGTGAATCGATCCTAGCCTGTGATACACTGTTCTAAGATTCTAAAAACCGCCTGTGAAGATCACCTAAATTGTTCAATTAATCAAAGTACACTGGGTGTTCAGATACGTATGGCGGGCAGTATATAGATCTCGGAAAAAATAACGCAACGTCTTGAATAAAGATTCAAAATTTCATTACCCCAAACCCAAATAGTGGCGACAATGCACAAATCAAAAGAAATAGCCACAACCTTCGACCGTCGTAAAAAAAATGCTAGAAAGACGAATAGTGTACATGGACTTATCGGGGCCGTGTAATGATGAGAAGTAACCAAAAATTGGGTACTATTTTGTAGCGTGTTTCTAGCGACAAAATGCGAATTGCGGGTGAACGGGACATCGGAAGTGGTTACCGACAAAAGGGATAGATGTGGTAGCGCCCCAAAAAGATTTTATTGATAGTGGAGTCAAAACTTCACAGGCGAATTGCGGCTGAACGGGACGCACCGACAAAGGGAATGATTTTCTGTTTTTCTGTTTCGTTATTTTGTGCGTTAATAAAATATAATAGGATTAATACGTATGACATTAAAAAAATTAAATATAATAACAGTAAAAATCTAGCTACAAAAAACGAGGTACCCAGTAAATTTTAGAATGCGGTATATTTTTATCCGGTCATAATTTTGGTTCACGAAGGGATGGTGTCCCGGGATTCAACGCCGTCAATGTGGCAACCCTAAGTCCTCAGAGTCTAAGAACTTTTAATTCTGTTTGTGAAGTGACCTAAAATTTCCACGGCCTTCTCTCAATCAAAATTTTGTTGCTCATGCAAATGGCTATTTCCCATTTTCCAATCGTTTTCAAACTTCCAGGATCATTATAGAGAACATTAGCACAAAATTTCAGCCAAATTGGTTTGGTCCTTACAAAGTTGTACGTAATTCAATAAATATCGATTTTCTTGCCAAAGAGGAAGTTGTCATTTTCTAATCGCTTCTAAATGTTTCTCAGCTCTCAGGAACAGCTTTTTCAACCAAATCGGTCGGGTAGTTTTGGCTGAACTTGTTTACAAGAATCATGCCGATCATCGAAATTTGGAGTGATTTCAATAGGTTAACCTAATGTTTCATTGATGAGGTTAATACGTATTAAATATTAAGTAAATACGTTCCAAATTCTGAAAAGGCGGCGACCTGATTACAGCGTGGATTTGCAGAAAATGTAATGAAAATGAAAAATAAATCGAATCTTGAACTACATTATTTTCTGCACATAGTAGCAAAACTACTTAGTGTGCCCCTGGCATTATACATGATAATCCATCTCAGGTAATCTCAACATTTATTGTTTTTACTGCCTACATTCCGTAAATGCTAGAGTTTTAGTTCGCAAACCGATTGTGGTCAACTCACTAACCCTATAACTATCAATTTATTTTTTAGCAACCGATTCGTGAAAAAATCAAAGGAATGTGAGGCAGGTGCACGATTTTTTCTTAGGCTACTATAAACTGTTACAATATTTTCGTATATCCACCCAAAGGAGTACCAATTTAATTTTAGTGTTGGCGTAGGTGAAAAATTATTTTACTAATTGCAAATCGCTGCCACACTCACCGTTTTCTATGCCATTTACAGGCACATCTTTTAAGACAATATCGATCATTCCGTCAGGTTCTTTAAAATATTCTTCATTGTGTATGTCACTTTCACTAAAAGCTCTTGTAATCGAAACATTTTTAACTTTCGTCATTTTCTGCCACGAACTTATTCAATTTTTTATTTAAATGTGGATGAATGTGTAGTTCTGCATTTATTTGCTGAATGTACAGTGCGAAGGAAATTGCTTATTACTCCAAACCTTATTACGACACTCCTTATCGCGTGCCTAGTTTACATAAAATTCGCAAATAAAATAAGTCCGTAAAAAATTATTGGAGCAAATCAGACCTTAGCATTCGCTCCTCCAAACATCAAAGGTAAAGCAAATGTCAATTTAAATTTTGCAACACAAGAATATAGGAGTTGACAGTTTAGGTAAAATCACAGAGTGTGAAACGGAATGAAAGACTAAAATCGGAATGAGTAATGATTCTGAAATTTGTAGTGACAGCCTTAATGCGTTTGAAATAGCGCTATTCGCCAAATACAGCATATCTCATTTATTTTCAGTTCTCTGTTTAGCGTATACTGCGTTTGAAGTTTCAGTGGTAGAGAAAAATAATTTCCTTCCAAATCAGCACCTGGATTTTTCCATCAAACTGCGAATTTATATATCACTCTTTATAAAAAGCCAATTACGTGTAATATCCTGTTAGAAAGTTGAGAAAATATTGTTTTGACGTAACGTTTATTTATATTAGAAAAATTGTCCCATTCAATTTGGGGATATTACAATTTTGTGATATGTAATTGATGTCCGTATATCACTGTATCTATTTAATAAATTTACATAAAATTTAATTTCGCAGGCATTAGCATTATTTCAATACATCGCTGAACTGCAATCGGAAACTCGAATGCATTTATTAAATATTCCTAAATCATCCCAGCGTATTATTTTCGCTCAAAAATGTTTTTCGTGTTTTTCTGTTTATATTAATTATTTTCAATATTTCATAGCTTAATAAAAATGCTTTTCAGCGGTATCTGGTCGTGACATTTTCATATTCCTTGAATATTTATATCGCAGTAAAAATATACCATTTATTATTCACATTCAAATTGTCGAATGTCAATAACATATTACTACAGCATCCAAATTCAAATCTACACAGACAAATACGTTCGCCCACACGTTTTACAAATTGAAACCGTTTAGTTATTGAAAGGAATTACTAGACGCGACGATCTATGTTGAATTATATAACAAATAGTCTTCTTGTCAAGGGCATGAAAAATGTCGACGAAGTGTTAATCCTTTTATCTGCGATTACAATGTCGATATAGGTATATATCATTTTGATTAAAAAATTCATGAAAAATTTGCATGGCAGTAGTAATATCAAATTAAATTAAGTAGTCATAAAAAGATAAATCACCGACAGCATGAATAATTGTACTTATCAGGGCTGCGTGATTGGGGTCTTTCATTCTCATTGGGGTGAGGGTGCATTAGGGATTGCAATAAATCATTTCTATTTGTACAATTGCAGTTTTATCTAATGGCATATTAAATGATCATCATATTTATTGCGCGTGTAGCTGTCATTTTAGTAAATCAAATCTTTGCATCGAGATACTTGCCTAGATCCCGAGTTAGATCTCTACTAACCTCTCCTACGACAACATAATCATGATGGTGTGATGGCTACGACGGGGTTATCGAGATACGAACGTAGCCTAAAATTGTTCGTGCCTTTAGCCTTCCTTCATTGAAAATACCGTATAGTTTTTTTTGCCAACTGCTTGTGGTTGGTTGGTTGCTTGTTAGTAGTGTGGTGAAACGCCCAATAATTAGGCAATACGAATACGCCTTACATAGCAGAGAATAGCACTATGGGGGAAAAAACCTAAAACGCTCTATGTGTTCAACAAATCATGATAGGTCCTCCACTTTGACCGTTCTTCCCAGATGCCGAAGAACAGGGATATTCAAGACGCAGCTAATATTTGAGATTAGGAACGAGATTTTGATAAGCGGTTTTCATTGGCCTCTTTGGATGTTATTTGGCTACTTTTTCATAAAGAAAAAATCATATAATTCCATTCGACTTTTTTGATTTTTTTAGGATTTTCGGTCATGGTGTCAAAATTAGCCCCCTGCCGGAGAAGGATTCAACTAAATTAACTATATTATATGGTCGATTCCTATTTCCCAAGGAATGCTCTTTTCAACGATACCAAATTTTTAAAAATCGGTCAAACCGTTATGAAGCTAAATCAGGTTAAATATTGCAAAAACAATTGAATGCCCCACACCATCTTTGTTTTTGAAATAACTGGGTTTTTTACGAAAATGATAGATAAACTGGTTCTCTTTAAAAATGTGAAAAAAACTTTTTTAGTTTATTATGCGAAATTTAGAGAACATGCAATTTTAAAAATTAACATGGCAGTTACGCCCTCTGGTGGTCATTTTTATAACTTGAAAATATTTTCCAGCGATTCTTCATGACAGATTTACCCAATAATTTTTTTTATGACAAACGTTTCTCGAGGTATGGCCGAGGAACAGTCTTATTGGGTCATCCAGTACAAGGAGATTTTTTTTCGTAAAATAAATATTATCAGTGTGATGTTGCCATTATGTTTGACTAATCGTTTCCTGCGTGGAGGGAGTACCGCATGCAGTTCGCTGTATGCATGGTATAATAAAAAGCTGTATGTGATGCTGCCTTGGCGCGTGCGGACTGCAGCTCTTGTGTCTGCTCTATACAGACTGTTCCACGCAAACCGTTACCTAAAAGTATGCAGACTAAACTTCAATTAATAATTTAAATCTGATAATTTGCATACCAACATAGTTTTTCATGATTTATTTCCAGGCTTCTTAAGAAAATTATGCCTAACAGTTACGATTTTAGAAAATCTAAAATAAAACTAAAAGCATCAAGATAGGTACCTATAGGGAATGTAATAATTGATCATGTAGAATTTTTTTCACGTTTGATAGTGCAAGAAAATAAAGCAGGTTTCATTTGAAAGATTCATTTTAAGATTTGAAGTTATTAAAATTGACCATTAGCTTTAAAACACCCTGTAGTAGATCAGAATTTAAATCAATCTCATGTAACATCAAGTAAGTATTGTTGATTTTCGAAGCCTTTTTGAAATGCGAGTCAACGGAGTCATAGGTACAGGACCCTAAAGAAAAGCAGTTAAACGTCAAAAATTTTGAAAAATCTTGAATAACTTGAAAACAACTGGGCATAGGGAAATGTGGCATCAAACGACGTAAATTTTTATATAGATTTCGAAAATAAAATAAAATAAAAATACAGTGCGGTGTTTCATCTATGTGTAAATTTCCTTTCATGGTAGGGACATTTCTTGGATTTTCTTGATTGTAAAGAAAGAAATTATATAAGGCGTACCAAACTTTTTTCGAATGAAACCGTGTTCACATTCACATTGTATTATAGCTACTATAGTTTCGTATTTCCGGCACCGAGGAGGACACTTTTAGCACATTTTCCATCTCGTGTTGGAAGGCGATATTATGGCCACTTCCTCCGTCCGTCCATCGGAGGCCTTAACTACTACAGTTTTCAGGATAATTTTGTTCGTTCTTTTTGCATTCGGTAGCTAATAGCTCTGGCTCTGGCACCTTAACAAAGAAAAATGTTGACGATTAATCTGCGCATGCGCGGACTGCGCAATGTCAACTTTCTTAGTTATGGAGATATTTCTTTGAAATATCAACCACAGATGCTTCTAGTAAAGACTATCATATCGCATATTGTTAAAATCTCACATGCGCAAGCGCAAACGGCGCAATGTCAATTTTTTTATGTATAGAGATATTACTTTGAGATTTTAACCACATATGCTTCTAGTAGTCAAGCACATTGTATATTGTAAAAATGAGATGGGCGCATGCGCAAACTGGGCCATGTCAACTTTATTATCTAAGTATAGAGATATTTTTTTGAATTTGAATTTTAACCAGGGATTCTTCTAGTTAAGGCAAGCATTTCGCATACTTTAAACATCAGGTGTGTATGCGCAGACGTCCTAATGCTAAGTTTCTTATTTATAAGAGTATTTATGCCATAATTTATTTTTGCTCTTTATAACTCCTGACAAAGAGGCAGTAATGCCTTGCCTATTACATGGCTAATGCTATGCTCATTTTGAATTTCGTGCAATTCGGTTTATAACTAAAGGAAATGTCCTTATTTTTTGAGATACATTGTCAATTCATGAACACCGACCTACAAATTTGATATAAAAAATCCACCTGTAAAGTTTTGTCGGAAACGCTCCATTCATTTTCGGGATATCGTGCTAACGAACAGACGGACAAACACCGCAAAATTATGAACTCGCTAGGAGCTTGTTAATAATGTTACCTGGTTACAAATAAGTCATGGTTCCAATTCTCGGAGAGTGGTGAAATCAAAGGACGAGATTGCCTTTACGTATAATTATAGTCAAGTATACGGAGCAGTCAGAAGGGTCGATTCCTGCAAAAAGTGGTGTAAACGATTTTATCTTTTTAATTGGTCCATTTGGGTCCAAATAACATGTATTTGAAGAGTGCACACCAATTTTTTCACACACTTTGCACAACTTTTGGCAGCCAAAAAACCTCAAAATGTTCGGACTTTTTTCAGTTTTTCGCTTAGAACTCGAAAACGGTCCATATTTTATGAATAACACTTAGTAGTGAATTAAAGAAAACCAAATTCTGCGTCGATAAAAAAAACCGAGAAAAAAACAGACAAAATCGGTGCAATAGAAATTTTTACAAGCGATCAAAAACGCCTATTTTTTCCAACAAAAAACTGAAGTTAACCTTTTTTAATGCGTTGTGGCTCCTAAAGGAACGATAAAATCCACTACCCCCTCCTCCCTAAAGATTGTAGAACGTCAATGAGAGAGTTCAAAAAGTACCAACAATTTAATATGGTTTTCTTTAAATTACTAAAGAAGTGTAACATATGGACCGTTTTCGAGTGTTAAGCGAAAAACTGAAAAAAATGCCAAACATTTTGAGGTTTTTGCCTACCAAAAGTTGTGCCGGCAAAATGTGCACTCTTCAAAATTCAAATACATGTTATTTGGACCCAAATGGACCAAACAAAAAAATCTTTTACACCACCTTTTGCAGGTCAAAATTATCTGCATAGTGGA